GGTCCCATCGTTTTCGCGAACACATCTATGTTTTTCCTAAATTTTTGAACCTAGGGAGGAGTTAAAGGGAGGTTGAAAACTATTTTTATTGGTTTACCAGGGTGACATTCAAGTATTGCAATAACTTACTATGAAAAGCAACGGATTTTATTACATCAGAAGGTTTCAGTTTTAAAATCAGTTAAGATGTTTTTTTTATCAAAAAAAGGCTCGGTGTATTTCATTAAGTTTTCAAGTCCCGGCGCTATTTTACATTACGCTGTATCAAACCAATGTATCAACGCATCAATAAATATTCTTTCCTCGTGTTCCAAAACAATTTTTTCTAAGAACTGCTGAGAATAAAAAACCATTGGTAACATTAAATAAAAATTTTCTCTAATATGAAATAAAAAAATTTAAAAAAACTTTTGCAAAAAACAAGGACTTTTGCAAAATTTTTAATCCAATTCAACTAGTTTTTCCTAGAGCAGTTCTTGGGACAGTGGTCAGTGGTCAAGGGTGCTGCCAGCTCATGGTAATCATATTTTTGAAAGCACTTATTTCATCCTAAATTTCATCCATCAGTAAAAAAAAACTTATGTTTGCCAGTTTTGTGATCGTTCTTCCGCCTCGGCCGCTGCCGCCGCTTCGGGATTACAAACCAAAAGAGTTGTTGTAGATCTAAAGTAGAGAAAAGGTGAACAAGGCGAATTTTTGCTTAATAAGTGCATTCAATTTTAACTGCCTAGAGAATCTTCCTGCACAATTCAGACAAGATAGGCCATTCCTTCCGTCTTCGGTCCCATCGTTTTCGCGAACACATCTATGTTTTTCCTAAATGTTTGAACCTAGGCAGGAGTTAAATGGAGGTTCCAAACTATTTTTATTGGTTCCCACACGGGTGACATTCAAGAATTGCAATAACTTACTATGAAAAGCAACGGATTTTATTACATCAGAGGGTTTCAGTTTAATTTTCATTTAAGATGTTTTTTATCAAAAAAGGCTCGGTGTATTTCATTGAGTTTTCAAGTTCCGCGGCTATTTTTCAATATGCTGTATCAAACCAATGTATCAACGCATCAATAAATATTCTTTCCTCGTGTTCCAAAACAATTTTTTCTAAGAACTGCTGAGAATAAAAAACCATTGGTAACATTAAATAAAAATTTTCTCTAATATGAAATAAAAAAATTTAAAAAAACTTTTGCAAAAAACAAGGACTTTTGCAAAATTTTTAATCCAATTCAACTAGTTTTTCCTAGAGCAGTTCTTGGGACAGTGGTCAGTGGTCAAGGGTGCTGCCAGCTCATGGTAATCATATTTTTGAAAGCACTTATTTCATCCTAAATTTCATCCATCAGTAAAAAAAAACTTATGTTTGCCAGTTTTGTGATCGTTCTTCCGCCTCGGCCGCTGCCGCCGCTTCGGGATTACAAACCAAAAGAGTTGTTGTAGATCTAAAGTAGAGAAAAGGTGAACAAGGCGAATTTTTGCTTAATAAGTGCATTCAATTTTAACTGCCTAGAGAATCTTCCTGCACAATTCAGACAAGATAGGCCATTCCTTCCGTCTTCGGTCCCATCGTTTTCGCGAACACATCTATGTTTTTCCTAAATGTTTGAACCTAGGGAGGAGTTAAATAGAGGTTACAAACTATTTTTATTGGATCCCACACGGGTGACATTCAAGTATTGCAATAACTTACTATGAAAGGCAACGGATTTTATTACATCAGAAGGTTTCAGTTTTAAAATCATTTAAGATGTTTTTTTATCAAAAAAAGGCTCGGTGCTCGGTGTATTTCATTGAGTTTTCAAGTTCTGGCGCTATTTTACATTATGCTGTATCAAAACAATGTATCAACGCATCAAAAATTATTCTTTCCTCGTGTTCCAAAACAATTTTTTTAAGAACTGCTGAGAATAAAAAACCATTTGTAACATTAAATAAAAAATTTCTCTAATATGAAATAAAAAAATTCAAAAAAACTTTTGCAAAAAACAAGGATTTGTACGCGAAAATTGAAAATGTTTCAGCATTCCAAGTAATATTTTAGGAAATAAAAACTATGCTTCCAATCTGACAAAAACATCCAAAATTTTTAATCCAATTCACATAGTTTTTCCTTGAGCAGTTCTTGGGACAGTTTTCAGTGGTCAGTGGTGCTGCCAGCTCATGGTACTTATATTTTTGAAGCAGTTATTTTATCCTAAATTTCATCCATCATTAAAAAATACCTATATTTGCCAGTTTTCTGATCGTTCTTCCACCTCGGCCGCTGCCGCCGTTTCGGGATTACAAACCAAAAGATTTGTTGTAGATCTAAAGTAGAGAAAAGGTGAACAAGCGAATTTTGGCTTAATAAGTGCATTAAATTTTAACTGCCTAGAAAATCTTCCTGCACTATTCAGACAAGATAGGCCATGCGTTCCGTCTTCGGTCCCATCGTTTTCGCGAACACATTTATGTTTTTCCTAAATGTTTGAACCTAGGGAGGAGTTAAATAGAGGTTACAAACTATTTTTATTGGATTATACACGGGTGACATTCAAGTATTGCAATAATTTACTATGAAAAGCAACGGATTTTGTTACATCAAAAGGTTTCAGTTTTAAAATCATTTAAGATGTTTTTTTATCAAAAAAAGGCTCGGTGCTCGGTGTATTTCATTGAGTTTTCAAGTTCTGGCGCTATTTTACATTATGCTGTATCAAAACAATGTATCAACGCATCAAAAATTATTCTTTCCTCGTGTTCCAAAACAATTTTTTTAAGAACTGCTGAGAATAAAAAACCATTTGTAACATTAAATAAAAAGTTTCTCTAATATGAAATAAAAAAATTCAAAAAAACTTTTGCAAAAAACAAGGATTTGTACGCGAAAATTGAAAAAATGTTTCAGCATTCCAAGTAATATTTTAGGAAATAAAAACTATGCTTCCAATCTGACAAAAACTTCCAAAATTTTTAATCCAATTCACATAGTTTTTCCTTGAGCAGTTCTTGGGACAGTTTTCAGTGGTCAATGGTGCTGCCAGCTCATGGTACTTTGTTTTTGAAAGCAGTTATTTCATCCTAAATTTCATCCATCATTGAAAAAAACCTATATTTGCCAGTTTTCTGATCGTTCTTCCGCCTAGGCCGCTGCCGCCGTTTCGGGATTACAAACCAAAAGAGTTGTTGTAGATCTAAAGTAGAGAAAAGGTGAACAAGGCGAGTTTTTGCTTAATAAGTGCATTCAATTTTAACTGCCTAGAGAGTCTTCCTGCACAATTCAGACAAGATAGGCCATGCCTTCCGTCTTCGGTCTCATCGTTTTCGCGAACACATCTATGTTTTTCCCAAATGTTTGAACCTAGCGAGGAGTTAAATGGAGGTTAAAAACTATTTTTATCGGTTCCCACACGGGTGAAATTCAAGTATTGCAATAACTTACTATAAAAAGCAAAGGGTTTTGTTACATCAGAGGGTTTCAGTTTTAAATTCATTTAAGATGTTTTTTATCAAAAAAAAGGCTCGGTGTATTTCATTGAGTTTTATAGGTCCCGGCGCTATTTTTCATTATGCTGTATCAAACCAATCTATCAACGCATCAATAATTATTCTTTCCGCGTGTTCCAAAACAATTTTTTTAAGAACTGCTGAGAATAAAAAACCATTTGTAACATTAAATAAAAAGTTTCTCTAATATGAAATAAAAAATTTCAAAAAAACTTTTGCAAAAAACAAGGACTTGTACGCGAATATTGAAAATGTTTCAGCATTCCAAGTAATATTTTAGGAAATAAAAACTATGCTTCCAATCTGACAAAAACATCCAAAATTTTTAATCCAATTCACATAGTTTTTCCTTGAGCAGTTCTTGGGACAGTTTTCAGTGGTCAAGGGTGCTGCCAGCTCATGGTACTCATACTTTTGAAAACACTTATTTCATCCTAAATTTCATCCATCAGTAAAAAAAAACCTATGTTTGCCAGTTTTCTGATCGTTCTTCCGCCTCGGCCGCTGCCGCCGCTTCGGGATTACAAACCAAAAGAGTTGTTGTAGATCTAAAATAGAGAAAAGGTGAACAAGGCGAATTTTTACTTAATAAGTGCATTCAATTTTAACTGCCTAGAGAATCTTCCTGCACAATTCAGACAAGATAGGCCATGCCTTC